ATGGTATATTCCGTGGTGTGGGATATACCAGACGTTTCGTTGTTCCGTATATGGCGACGAAGAGGCGCTTTGTTTCACCTTTTCAGCAAAACCCTTCTCTATCATATTCTCCATGAAGGTGACATAGTCGTCACGGTAACTTCTGTCGGCCATGAATCTTCTTTTGAGTTGTAACAAGCGATGAAAGGCTGACTCACAGTTGTTAGGAAGAACAACATTCGGATTCTTCAGGGGCAGGGGCAGTTCATAGTGGCCATTTTTTAGTTGGGTAATTCCTTCCCTGGCGATGGCGAGGAATCTTCTGTCTTCTTTTGAAAGCCCCGATCCAGGAATAGAATTCTCTGAGAAGTCCCGTTCGAACATTCGTGTCACTGCGAAAGAATTTATTTCTTCTTTAGTTTGGGAATTGAGAACGAAGCTGCGGTTGCTACAGCGGCCAGTATCAACTTCATACGCAAGGATTCGATTACAACACGACGCTAAATGTTCTCCACAGTTCGGCTGGATACCTTCTAACGGACTGACGGGACCAATTATTCCCCATCCTAGGAGAGTGCGGACGGCATAAGGGTCTTCTCCCTTACCCAAAATAACTTCTTTAGGCTTGATCGCCTTCGGACAGTTGCAGCCAATTAGCAATCCGATTTCCAAGCTTTCTTGATATGGCATAATCTAGTCTTTGATCCTTTGGAGATGTGGCCACACAGCTGCAACTTCAGGACTAGGAATCTGGTCTCTTCTTGATGGTATCTGGTCTCTGGAGTACGTCCTGGGTAGCTCGAATTGAACGCGCTGGTCTATCCTCTCAACTACCAGCCCATCCACTCTGCAAACGTTGATTTCTTCAATTCCAAGCATGGTACTGAGGATAAGTTTCAAATTAACTCCAGGGATTCCAAGCTTATCTTTCACGTCCGTTTTGATAAACGTCGTGTCAATAGCGTCATCCAATAACGCATAAACCTTGGCTTTAAGTTCGGGGTGACTCTTACGAAACATATAGACTGGGATGATTAAAGAGTTCGTTACAATGCCTTGCCCACTCACAGTGCTACACACACCGACATTGGGGTTGGAGATTGTACTGTCGTCGTTCGCGACCTCTGCACTTACTTGATGACTTTGGACCGGATTGGGCCGATATGATTCAGGAGTATTCTGGTTGCTAGATCCTTCTTTATACGTAGGGTCATGAGGTGGAGTCGGATGCTGCCTACCGCATTTCTCGTAATTTAACCTAGCTCGACAGTTCTTCGATTGATGACCCCTTTTCAGGCATCCACAGCAGAGGCCTTTCAATCTAACCAGTGCCAGGCGCTCGTCAATGCTCTTCCTGCTTAGTTCTCCGCACTTGTTAGGTGGGTGGTTACCGCCGCAGAAGACGCACGAACTTTGCTGTTTCGGCTCTTGCTCTGCTCTCCCGAGGCGGTGTACGAGAGGAAAACGATGGAAAACTGTTTGCTCCCTGACTTCTCGTTATTCGGCTTCTTTCAGGCGCTTTGTTTTTTTTACTTTTCAACACATCGGGAGAAAAAACCGGATCATTTGCGAGATCTGCTTCTTCTCTGACAAATTCTACTAGATCGTGGAAGGATACCGTTCTCTCCGTTTTCTTCAGAACATCACGTGCTTGGCGACACCACCTGGAGCCTGACTTGAAGGGTAGTTTTGTGCTTACTTCCTGTAGTAACCTTGTTGAATTTAGATCTTCCATGTACTTCATGGACTGCATGGCTCCTTCACAACGGACAAGAAAATCAGAGAGATCTTGAAGACCGGAGCTATCGCCTTCGACGATCTGCGGCCAATTTCGCAATTTAGCCTTATAAGCTTCCGCTACTCGAAATGGGTTGCCAAAGCGCTGAGCCAAGAGCTTACGAGCTTCTTCATAACCTTGGTCAGAATCCCAGGTCAAGAAACCTTTCACGACTTCGTGGGCTTTGCCGGAAGTATACTTGCTCAAAAAATACAGTTTATCCCTTTCTGAGTGAACTTTCTTCTCTATCATGGCATCGAAGGCAGCTATGAATGTCGGGTAATCGAAATAACTTCCTTTAAAGACAGGCGGTTCTTGAGAAGGAAGCGCACTAGCTCTTTGCTGGTTGACAATTAGAGCGCTTAATTCCGCTTGTTTCGCTTGGAGACTGACTATTTGTTTAAGAGTCGCTTCTTGATGTGTTGTCGGCTCGTCTCGCTTTGGAGCGAAATTGTTAACTTGACTAGCGGCTTCTCTTATCGGCGGCGTCAACGGCGCAAAAGGAAGTGCTTGCGGTGTCAACAATGAAGGTTCTTGTTTTATGACAGTTTTTCCGACATCGAATTTAGCTTCGCGGAAATTTCGTTCGAATCTCTCATCAGATTTCATATCTTCGCGAACTATGCCATTTTTCACTTCTTCGTTCATAACCAATTTGATAGCTTCCTCTTCAGCATCTGCTAAGGCGATCTCCCTTTCCAGCTGAATTCTTCTTAAATTGGTTTCCTGGTCCAGGTACTTCATTTAGACCTTTAGCTTCGCTGCTCTGGTCGCCGCCTCTACTCTCTTTGACGTGACTGACGACCTAGAAGATCTTGAAGAACCTGAAACCCTTGATCTTTCAGAATGGCTTGATTCAGTTTCTTGCCTATTAGATTCGAATTTTTCATGCTCTCGTTGTTCGACTGAACGAAGGATTTCGGATAGTCGCACTCGACATTCGATAAACTCCCGATCGCACAAATCGAAATATCGGTAAGCGGCACCTTTAGCGCTTTCATTATCAAGTAACTCGTCATACGATCGGTATGCCTGGTTAAGTTCCTCTTTAATTACATCCAGGATTTGTCTTTCCTTTTCTAATTCTTCAGTACCCGGGTGGGAGTCGAGCAATGAGTAAATTCTTCCAACATGTTTACGCAATTTGTTTTTCCACTTCTTGTTTCTTTAAAGCGCGAACTTCCGATTGATAGGCTCTGCCTTTGTCAGTCAAAGTCCGCTCTCTCAAATTTGGAGGATCGTGTTTCCTGCCACGAGGACTATGGCTTCGTCTAAACTAAGATCTCTTAAATCGCATAGTTCATTCGGAATTTCAACTTCTGCTTGTTCCTTCTCGAATGAGAGAATCTTTCGAACTGTAGCTCGAGGCGATCGACTACCACTATCGCTCATCCTCCACGAATTTTAATTCCAGCCAAAGGCGTCAATTGGTGATATTTTACTGTTGCGGCAAACGAACATCAAGGCTCGATGAAATGCCAAGAAAATCGCGACCGGAGAAAAATGCCAACCAAATCCAGGGGATATGTTACAGGGACATAACTTTAATCAATCTCGTAAACTGTAAGCGAATTAAAAAAGGGAATTATGTAATAGATTGTATTCAATTAAACACGTGGCGACTTAACAGTGTAAATGAATCTAACATAATAAAGGAACTAATAAATGAACCAAGAGCTACGGCAAACACAAGATATATATATATAAATAAAGAGGAAAGAGCTTGCTCGAAACGAGATAAACAACAAAACAAACAAAAACAACTTACATATCAGTCCCTATACGCCGGTGGCTTGAAATCACACTTTATAAATTAACTTTGTATGCACGCCGAACATGGAAAGTGAATAATGAGACTATCTGAAGGAATCAAATGGCACAAAGGCCAACTGTATTGCAAAAGTCACGCAAGTTTGAAAGTCACGCATTTACAGGAACAGTTTAAACGCACTTAAAAGTTGAAGAGAAAGCTCTAACAAAATATACCAGGTGGTATACCTACCTGATTAAATAAAGGAACTGAATATAGAGGGAAAAAAATGTGAATGCAGTGAGGAATGTCCAAAGCCTTTGGTTTGTTCCTTCGTACTTTGTACGATCGTCGCACTAAGATATCAGGCGCACTTGAAATAACACTTGACGTCGCATTTTTTTATAAAGAACTAACGCACTTTGTAATAAAACTTGACTTTCGCACTTTGATGTAAAAAAGCTGTTGCATTTCATACTAATACTCTCAGCACTCTGTGACAAAAAAGGCAGACGCATTTTGTAATAGTACTGGTCGCACTTTGTAATGTAAAAGCTGATGCCTTTTAAAATGAGAGATCTCGCACATTGTAATAAACTTAGTATAGATGGTAAGTGGATTATAATAATAAGTAATGGTAATAGAACTGACAGGAGCACGTATCGCGAGGCTAATTTGAAATTAGGAGGACTTTACGCCCAAATTGTGCGACGCGAAGTCTGATTACCAATTCATTGGGTCATTAACAAAATTCAAGAAACTCAGTTATAGAAAATTTCTTGTAGGAGCACTTACCATTTTTATAGACACTGAATAACAGTTATCGGACCAGTTAATTCCACCCATGTTTGTTTCAATGTGGACCTCTCCACCTGCTCACGAAAGAGCGTTTCTTCGTTTTGATCGGTTAGCATTCACTAGGTAGTTGATGGTGTAAGGTGCTTACAAGTGTTTTTGATCGAACGGGTAAAGTCGGACTGTTTGGAGTTGAAACAGTCGATTAAGCCACAAATTAGGCCGGTTAATAACCCTTTAGCCTATTCGCGCAATTTGTAGTTGACACAGTTGGGATGATAATCTTAAAGCTTTATGATTAAACTCGAAGCCACGCGTATTTGCGCTCATCATTTATGTAAAATCTCCACACGTCTACGGCACGAAACATGAGTAGAAAAAAATTCAAAAAGGAGAAAAAAAACCTAGGAATAAACTCAAAATAACGTAATTTTTTTAGAAGCATTTAAAAACGGCGAGGCTGCTTCTAAAGAGAGGACATAAATGTTGATCCATGGGACTAAATTTATACACAAAAAATTACAAATTACCTGACCTATAATTGCGTCATGAACTGTTAAAATGTTTACTGATTGCACTACACAGGGGGACTTAACGGCTGAGATTCCTTGTCGACGAGGAGAGCGAGGCATGCGCAGGCTACAGCTGAAAGACAGCTTAAAAAGATCGCCCCAAACAGAGTGAAACACGGGCAGTGCTAGTTTTGCATGTATCTTTGGTCCACTAGCCGTTAAGGGGATAGACCTTAATTTCATGAGCACTTAACATCACAATCAGTAAGGAAGTTGCGTTATAATGAATTCGCGAGTATTCATTTTTCGCCGCCATGCACTTTGAGGTAAACCCGTTGTGAATAATTTTGTCAATGACTTTTTTTATAATCGTCTTCCATTTGCAGTTGGAGTCAATCTTCTTAATCGTCTGCCGACCTCAATCCGTTTAGGGTAAAATTTTAATCGTTTCAATTATTCTATCTCACCAAACTAATATTTATTTTGAGGTTTCCCTCACTTTAAAGGTAATTTTTACAAATATTTTAAAGGAAAGAATGATGACTCAGCTCTTCAAAAATGGTCAGCTTTTGGGACAGAAAACTATTACCTATCGCTTCCGGATATCTTGGAATGGTTAGCCAGTGAGCATCTGATGACCAGAAATAGAAGAAAAGAGGGCGCTGTTTGCGCCAGATGGCCAATAATGAGACAGGCTTAATGACAACAGATATAAATGTCGCGATATTGTGACGAGTCGTTCATAAATTCAATATCCGGGTAAACAAAGTCAGGTTAAAAAGTTTTGTGCCACACAAGCATTTCAAACAAGGTTTGCTGTAATTATGGCATTTATTCGATGGACCATGCCACTAGAAAGAGCTTTTCAGCTGTCACCACCTTGTTTCAGTTTTCTCTCGGTTTTACCTCAGGACAGGCGAAATCCTGCTCTGAGGAGAATAAATTTCGCAACTAATTGACAACTTACAAAACTTAACACAACTAACCTTCATGAGTTTCCTATATTTTGGGTTTCGCAGAATTTCGTAAACGTTTTTCAGAAAGCTGTACGGTCTGTTTGTTTGTTTTTCTGCTAGAACGTAGCACAAAGATAAGTGATTCTCAACTTCCGGTTTTAGCCCAATTCATTTCCGCTTTGTAACCAAGTTGAGCCAACCACTTAGCGCCCAGGATATATCGCGCTCTTAAAGCACCCGATTCGCTCATAGTTAACCGCTTACATGCATGCGGATTTAATTAGTATCAAATTAACGCATACAAGCTTTCAAAGTAGGGCCTATTTACCTATCGTGAACCTGTGACGTATGGGATTAAATATTAGTGCCCTGCTCAGCACGCTTCGCTGACCCCATTGCTTGGTCTTTGTATCCCTGCACAACGTGGATCATTAGGTTATTGCGCGTCTGACCTTTTTACTTTACAATGGAAAGGCAGTCCCGATTAGTTTATTCAGAAGAAAAAAAGGAAGTGCTGACCACATTTTTCAACGAGGGAATGACTTCCACCAAGAAAGCGATGTGCGACAAAATTCGTGCATGTGCCACAAGAGTCGGCATTTCGGAAGACCAAGTGAAGGTAGTTTAAGCTCTCACGGCCTTGATTAACACTCATTTTATCCCAGGCACCAGGATAACTAATTTCCTGTACTAAATTTCATGTATGTATGTTGTTAAGAGTTTCAGGCCATTTGAAGTTAGTGTAATTTAATTTTTCTGATCTTTTGACCTATTCTGTTACAAACCACGTTGATTTAATTGCGATCTGAGGACATCTTTCGAGCATTTTTCTAATTTTATTACACACAGGCTTTATATGAAGTTACAGTGTAAGGTTTTCGCCGGCCAGTTTAGTCCTAATTCTGCGTTGTCCATAGCTATAGCCTTTCACAAATGATGTGAAAGCCGTTTGATGTCGAAAGAAATTAAATGAAGCATGTGTTGTACTTTCTCTCCATCTAAATAGAAATAACATGGAACGACGAGAAACCACAAAAACGATCTTAAACCACCTAAAAGCATTTTAAACTACCTGAAACCTCCTAAAAACAGACAAACCATCTTAAACCACGTAAATTAACACAGGAAAAAATATCTGATTCCCAAATTGGGAATTTCTAAGAAATTCCCAAAGTTAAATCCCAATAACGGGTATTACATGGGAATTTGCATGAAATTCCCAAAGTAAAAACCCAGCATTGGGTATTACGTGGGAAAGTATATGCCAAGATTGGGAATAAGTTAGGATTTTGTTACAGGAAAAAGTACAAATTCCCAAAATTGGGAATAATAAAGGAAGTCCCAATGTAAAACCCAATATTGGTTATTACATGAAAAGCAGTGTACCAATCTTGGGAATTTAGTGGGACTTTTAAGACTATTTCCCAAACTGAAACCCCAATCCTGGTTATTACACAAGAATTTTAATAAATTTCCCATTGTTAAAACCCAACATTGGGAATAGTGTTGCAGACTTTGGTAAATTGGTGGAAACTTCCGCCCAAAAGATCAATTTCAAATTGGGAACTTTGCAAAAGGTAAAAAAGGAAGAGTTTATTTCAAAATTCCAAAACTGGCAATTTCTCAAACTTGTAAAAAAGCAACTTTGCTAAAATGATATCGTTTTGAAAAAATATGGGTGAAGCATTAGGTTTCGAGACAACTTCCCCAAATGTTATTATAGGTTGTTGG